GAGATAGTTTAAAAGCCAAATTATCCTGATCTTCGGAATCCAATGCAGCTGAACATGCTGGCAACAAGGAAAAAACAAAAGCAAATTATGACAAACACTCCTATGTGCAAACGAACTTGGCTTTGATAGGAAACGTAACTGAATTGAATCAAATCACCCGTTTGTTTCCGATTCAACTGGATCTGCCGCAAAAAGTCGCCTAATGTTTCAGTTGGTACGATATTCGAGATAATACGTTGCGTTGTGGCCCAGACATAACATACTGCTCATACGCAGACAAACAAATTATTCAGCGCACTCTGTTATCATGCAGTGTTTCAGACATCCATCTCAACCACCACAACCACTAACCCGCCGCTACACACCACCACGCTCCCCAATAACGCACTGATGTCATCTCGATTGGTGATGAAACGTTTGCAATCAAATTGCCCAGCACAGCGAACAAGCCAACAACCATCTACGCCACCTGAGCTACCAGAATTTTCCTCTATAGACATCTATCTCGATTTAATTTGCTGCTTACTCCATGATACAGCACCCGAGAGATGTATATTTGAAGATTTCAGTCGTCCAGAAACTTGCGGTCCACTACAGACGAAAGAGATGTTCACTCAGAAGAATAGAAATATGGTTCTGTTAGAGCTATCTAAACGCTTTTGAAAGGTAGTGGAACGCGGGTCACGAAAATGCATATAGAAGCTTCAGTCAAAACGGAGTAGGAAGACGGTTAAAACCAGAGGGAAAATGGCTTCATTCTTGGATTTGTAATTGGACCGGCCGAAATTCTGAGGTTTATGTTTTTTCTTCACTGGTACATGCACAAATGACAGCAAATGCAAGACGTGAGGAACATAAGAAACCACCATTTTTGACGCAGTAACTGAAAAATAATCACCTTTGCAAATTTGTTGGGAAGGGCCTGAATGAGCATACGTTAAATGCGCATGGACTACATGGTATGCATCTAGTTGCAGTAGAATTACTGAACCACCATGGACACAAAATCGCATAGAATAACGCAAACCAAGTGATCAATTCGTCCGAAAATATGCTTTATCCGTATGGTAGCAGCTACCATTCATTTTTCGACAAATACACCCATCTGCATACCCATTTGGTTTTCAACGCAGGAGACGCACCTGAAACCCAGCTGAACCTTTAGCCCGTGACGTTAGTAATCAACTGAATGTGCTACACCAGGTCCCTCATTTTCTCTTGTTACTATATTCGACACATCGCAATATATTGCACAGAGGTAACATACACCGGTCGTGGACTGTCGGAGAGTTTTCAGCAACCATTTGAGTAGTTATGTTATGCTTATGCGAGGAATTACTACTGGTGTTCAGCAAGTATGATCTTTAAACGGCGAGCGGACAATACACAGCGCACCATCTACAATGGATTTGTCCGACGCACCATTTTCTGGCATGTAGTGAGCACGTAACACAAGAGGCAAATACAAAACAAAGCTGCACTAAACTCGACGTATCTGTCGTGGCCTATGGAAAGTCGGTGCACCTAAAAAGCCCTCGTCCGGATGTCAAACAAGCAAAGTACAAGCTAATAAACTTGGCATATGAACCATATAAGAATTTACATTGCAACAACACCGTGAAGTAATCAAAAAGCGAGTACAAATACCAAACTTTCTCTTACCTATGATGCTCATTGTCATTGAAGTAGAAAAGGATACCACAATGAAGCTATTCAAAGCCAAAGCACAGGTAAGAAGAATTTTCAAGCTGTAAGAGATAAGGTAATTTAGATCGTAAAGTGGTGAGATACAACCAAAAAAGAGAAAATCATATACCATTCGCTAATCTTTTCTGGGACTACTAACAAAATGCGCCAAATAGCATTCGTCTCATGTAACAGATCATGACGATAAACCTATACAAACCGTCAGAGATAACGTATGAACCGGTTGGTTATAATCTTAGGCGAACGTCCCAGTAACTGTGCAGTCCTGTTGATAGCTTCACGCACATACCCCTCTTCAACGCGAAATGCAATGTAATGAGGGAAAACTGCACATTAATTGCTGGATTTTCAGAACAGGAATTCTCAGAGTCAGAAAAAACCGTGAGCTACCGAACATAAAACGACTGTAGAAACCACATAATACCTTGACAGAGGTGTGTTCAATTGCAGTATAAGTGAAATCGGCGGCCGCTTGGTCCCCAGGTCAAGTGTGGAACTACTACCCAACTTGTTACATGATCAACCATCTATGTGTGGTAAAGCATTGTGTAGCTGAGGCTCCAGAGAGCCAAACTCCTTCCCAAATCAACTACACTTTTTATGTTTAGATGTCTCAGTGGATGTCTGGCTCTAATGCGAGAAACTGCAAGTTATGTACTTATTGGGTCAGTATGACGATAGGATCGCAAATGACGGATTACACTTTAGGAATTCAATTATGACAATGCGAAAATTTCACAAGTCACCAAATTGCTATCCGAGCATCTGTACGGTAAAAGAGACGTCTCAGAAAGGGACAGATATACACGAAGTCACCTTCAATGACTAACCTACAGCAACACAAACAAGCACATGCAATAAGTCTGATCCAACTGAGGACGCAACACGCCAGAGATTGACGGCCATCAATACACCGATTTGTCCAATATCCGTCTTCTAATACAAGAATATCGTCGTTCACCAGAAAGAAGCATACAGAAACAAACACTTCGTAGTCTCATCGGTCAGGTCCTTCTCTTCCTGCGAACACCTATTAATCCCACTGATAATAATTTTCGGACCACGCAGGATCGGTGTTCATGGAAAGTAGTTCTTTTGGAGGCAGTGCCATACTTGCTACATCAGATCAGAGAAAGGATGGTGAATTAGCAAAAGCTGTAATCCGTCGTATTGGTAAGTGGATTTCCTCCGGCTAGCAAAAGGAAAACCGCCATTGAGGGCGAAGTTGGTCATAGCAAATCTGCCGATTGTTACTAAACTTTTCCGAAAATGTTGGTTGAGTTGAGTTGAGTTGAGTTGATTATTGACCAATCTAAACTAAGCGGTTATAGACAAATCGACATGAAAGTAAAAGTCTCATCCGCACAGAATGTATGGAGGGTGAACATCCCCAAGAGCCATCTTGAACTTTCCAGGACGCTCTTGAACATTAAATAGTAATGAACACTGCAAGGCGGTCCCATATTTTTCGGGCGAACCTTCCATCCGATGCGGATACGGCACTTTGAAATATGTCCAGATGCTATTGGTGTGTTTCAACAGTAGTATGGAGCGTTACATACCGCCCTCAAGAGTTCCCACGCATGCTACCAATGTTCAGTTCGTCCCAGTTGGGTCAACCTCAGCAACTAGTCTATTCGGCACCTTTTACTGCGTATGGTGCCACTTTCGAAGCCGGTTATCGCTTACTCCTTCTGGTCCTTAATCATCCTGAACTGTATAAAAGTTCCCTTAACAGTCAGTAACGATAAACGGATATGCCGACTGCCCAACTTGCGTGACCAAAGTCCATTCCTTCCAGCATTATGATGACCTTTCCATTTGGCCTTCGCGCCTATGGGGAATAGTCGTATTCATCTATATATTGTTTTCTGTCTGACCCTATCCTGAGCGGCGGTTAAGTTTTCTCCAGCACTCCTCGTTTTCCATCCTAGCTCTGTCGGAGACGGGCATGTTGCCGGTCACAGCTCGATATCCTGACCAAGTGGAAGGTGTGGATGTCGACCGTACATCGATATGAATCGCGACTTATCTGTGGCAGACTGAATCGACGCATGATTTGCTAACAACGCCATCGACCGGTTCATCAGCATTATCGTCGACAGCGTACAACAGCGATGCTTTCCTTCAGTACATTCATGATTCTTTTGAAAGCCTTACTGCAAAGAAAAGAATAAAGGTGGACGGGGAAGGGATTTAGTGCTAGCTTAACACAATCATTCCGAGGTGCCCAACCTCCAAACATTCACTCAGACAATCTGGATAGAAACGACAACTAGAACGTCACTGACATCGGTTGGCAGCCATATCTTGTAGTGTCTCCAACCAGGCACAGTGAGGATCACGTGGTCCCCATCCTGGAAGGCGAGTAGCACCAACAGCCCCCAAGTGTTTCGTGATCTCCTTGATACTCCTCTGCCAGGTCAAGGGTTACCCACATCACAGTTTACGCCACTCTGAATTGGGCATGGAAAACAGCACTCTCTTCGACAAACGATGATTCGGCATACGCAACACATGTCCCAACCAACGCAGCTTCTGGTGCCGGACACATTCTTCAATGGAAGTACCCTTTGCACAACCGGAAACACGCTTTCCAACTGCCCATTACGGATTCGATGACACCAACACACAGGAGCCATGGTTCTGAGGCAACGATTGTCGAACACCTGAAGACATCTCAGTTCCTCTCCCCGAATAGGCCAAGTCTCACATCCATACAAAAAACAGCCCGCACTTTAGCTTGATACACACGTTCCTTGAGATTCAGGGCTAAGCCATAGGTGTCTCAAATTAGCGAACGAGACCCTGACCTTGCAGATTCGTGCATTCACCTCATCTGTCACACGACAATCAGAACTAATACAACTTCCAAGATAGGTAAAACGCTCCACAACTTGCCGTACCTCTCCCTGGATTGTACGTGGTGTGTTCAGTGACTTCATGTCCACGAGCATGACCTTACACTTTGTAGGTGCAAAGTACATACCAAAGCACGGGATGATTTTGGTCAGTTCGTCCAAGAATACTTGCGCCTTCTCCGCCTACAGGTTCTACGACACCCCGTACAATCAGGAATACTAGAATTGTGGGTCGTTTATACGTATGACTTTGTTCCAGCACCTGACGGAGTGTGAAGATTTGGTCAACGCAACCCCTACCAGGCCGGAGTCCCGTTTAGTGCTCTCGAGTCAGTATCTCACGAGCCACCGTAAGGCGACGAAGCACAATTGACGCCATCAGTCTCGTTACGACCGGGGTCAAGCTGATCCCCCCGTGGTTACCACACTCACTACGCGCCCCTTTTGGAAAACGGGCACTATCGCTGATGCTTCCCAGTTGTCTGGGACAGACTCCTTTTCCCAGATGCAAGCAAACAGATCGGACAAGCGCTGACTGAGGACTTCGTCCCCGTCTTTGAACAATGCGGGTGGGAGATCATCCGGACCGGGAGCTCGGTGGCGCTTGAGAGGACATATGCAGCCGTAAACCTCCGGGGCCGCAGGTGGTTTCACGTTCACCGTCCAGGGTTCTGCTTCATCTGTGGGCTCTAGATGCGTTGAGGCTGCTGGCTACGACAGTTTTTGTTGTTCGAAGTATTTATTCCAGATGGTAGTTCCATTCTGATGCTTCATGGTTTCACTCACAGGTGGTTTCCGGGGACCGGTCGCACGGATCAACCGGCTTTCTGGGCCCCTTCCATTTCTTGGGCTTTCTGTGTCCACCACACTTCACGGTCAGCTCGCATGCTCACTTTCACTTGACGTCTGATAACTCCCCCCACCGGGTTGTGTTCGGGACCGGCTGAGATAGTTCTCCGAGGATTAAGCAGTGCCACCATTCGGTCTGACATCCAGTGCTTGAGTACGCCTGGTTGGGTCGTGCCACAGGCAAAATTCCCTGCACTATGCAACGAGGTGGCAATCTCGTCCCAGTATGCCTTCAAATCTGATGGTGGAGAATTTGGAAGAGACTCTTGAAGATCAGTCTGGTAAATTCGTCTGACAGCCGGATCTGTCAGTCTTTCAGTTGCCAGGCGATTCGTCCGCACCTTGCGCAGCCCCAGGGGAACGTAGGGAGAAGCGACCCTGGATGAGCGCGAGGTCAGAGTCCACAAATGTGTTCCAAAACGACCGGCAGTAAGTTATGGACCCGCGCTATCGGTAACTGGTGGCAATGTGGTCGGTTTGAGTTTGTAGCCGGCCTGTTGTTGGAGGACACCAAGTAGCCAGACGACTTCGGTTATTTCGGAAGTTAGTACTGCATAAAAACAGCCTGCGATCAGCACACGGCTGAAGCAATCGTTTCCCACTGTCCGTACGTACCGAGTCCAGTCCATGTCGACCTCCCAATTGAGTCTCAGATGCACTAAGCCTGCCCACTTGCGCATACATATCTCCGCCACCCACCACAATATCTGAGCTTCTCACTCGCTGTAGCGGGGCATTCAGGGCGTCGTAAAACCTTCCTTTGACGGAGTCGGAGCTAAAGTCAGTTGGGGCGTAGACAGACACGATAAGCAGACATCGATGAACTTCCCGCTTCTGAGACTCCTTCACAGACGTTGCCAGACGAACCGCACAGAGGCGACTATCAACAGGCATCCAGTCAAGTAAGGATACTTCCACCCGGTGACTTAGCACAATACCAACCCCTGCACATCCCGCCGCAGCAGCCTCTGGATCACCAGAAGTGCGCACCCGGAAGCGAGTGGAGACTGACGGGGCGGTTAGCTCAATCACTGTGCTTGCATCTTGAATTGTCGTTTCTGAGACACAGCAGACATCAATGCCAAGCGATTCCGGTGTGGGTGCAAGAGCAGCTTTTTGTCCTGTTTGCTTCAGAGTGCAGACATTGAAAGCGGCCAGATAGACTGGGCGTCGAGGCTTGAGGACTGATTTGGAGATACCTTAGGATGTCGGCGCAATGTGACGAGCAGATGCTGCACGCAAAACCGATGCATGACGAACGGAGTCATCAGGTCCTAAGTGCTGGGCCTACAAGAAGAGAGCTATTAATGGGGTGGGGAGACAGGGAAGAAAGTGTGTGAAAGAGAAAGAAGGGAGGCGTCGCTTACCCGCCCTGTTGTATGCAGCAAGTAAGGCGACGCGGCTCATTGCACCACGCGACGGCCGATGTGGCATGAGAGTATTGTTAGTCGTTAATGTCATGGTTGTGCTAGGGCTGGGATACTGTCAGGGCGCCCACACCTAGACGGGAGGACGATTAGGGGCCTCAACCAAAGACTTTGTCTCAAAAGCGTCGGTGTTTGGCGGGAAATGCAAATGCATTACCATTTCTACGGAACAAGTCGTCACATGTTCCAACCCCCAACCTGGACGGCCAGGATACTGTGTATCCAGTACGATAACGAGGCTAGTGACGCCGACCATGATTTTAGGGGGACTTTTCCGGCCTCTTGTCTAGATAGCTTATCTGTCAGATGGTTCTCATTCCTCGGCACTTGCCGGATCGTGGAGTCGTATTCTTGTGGTCGGAGAGCCCAGCGCGCGAGCTTTTTGCGGGACTCTCTGGTGGTTCTTGTCCACTCAATGAGTTTGTGATCGGTCTCAACGTGAAACCTTTGTCCCAGAAAATTTAGCCTCCATTTATCCAGGTCCCAGATGATCGCCAAGCATTCCTTCTCAGAGGTTGAATACTGCTTCGTGTTGGTCAGGGACACGACTAGCATATTCAATGATCCCATTCTTCTGCTTCAGAACCGATGATCAGGTCACCAGCGTCCGCTGCAACAGTAAACATCTCCCCAAACCTGGGCAATTTGAGGGTGAGTCACTGATCCAGCATTTCCGCCTTGATACGTTCGAAGGCCTCGAGCGCTTTGCTTGTTCATTCCTATTTTGACGAAAAAATTCGTACACCGGAAGAGCAATCGTGTCGAAATCCTTGAAAAACAGGCTAGGGTATACTGCTCATCCGAAAAATTGCCATAAGGACCATTTTGAATTCGGGACTGCCCATTACTGAATCTTCGCCAGTTTTTTCGGCAGTGGACCAACCTTTCCTTGACCTACTTTATGCCCGAGCAGTGTCACCGAACTTCGAGCGAGTTGTGCCTTCGGTTTATTGAACGGCAAGCCAGCTTCCCGAATCGCTAGATACAGCGATATCACCACCGTGCACAGCAACATTCTGAAGTCTATTCGTTAAACGAACCATTAGGCGCCGGAGGGTTCCCCCAATAAGCCAAGGCATTCTTCTAAATTGATATTGGGCATCCCCAACTATGAACGCGCTTTCTTACCAGTCGTCTGACATGATGTTACTTACCAGTGAAAGGAAGAAGGCCTTCGCTACGGAGTTATTTATTAGAAAACACCAACTGAACAGTTACAGACTATTGGACAGGAAAGCAAAATAAGCAAAAAACCACCTTGTTTATAAAAACTGAATATCTTGAACGCGTTTTCTTGAACTCATTGATTATCTCTCGAATGTAAATGAATGCTACAAAGCAATTTCACAAATTCCGTAGTAAATTCTACTTTCCAATAGACGCGAAGCGGAGTTACGAGAAAACATATCCTTCGCATGCCTCATCAATAGTACCCTAGTTACACATCTCCCTTTAAAGGTCGCTCGCATGCCACTGATTTTGATACCCTTAGGTCGGCTCCAGCAGCTGGTCAATTCGGCCGCCCTTCGGGTGTATCATGCTACCTACGAAGCTGAGTCCCATTTACTTTTTTTCGATCCCCGACCGTCTTGAGATGTATAAACGTACCCCCAGCGGTCGGTAACGACAAACAGACCTTGCCATCGACTGCCAGCTTCCGCGACCCAGTCCACCCCTTTCAGGATTCTGATGATCCATCCACAGGACCTTCACGCCTATGGGGAGTGGTTGTGCCCTCCTACGTATCGTTTTCTCTCTAGTCCCTTTCTGAACGTCGAGCATGCTCGAGCTATCCTCCTTTACTCTCCTACCTCCTACGGAGACAAGCGTGTTGCCGGCTACAACCCTATTCCCTGATCAACCAGAAGGCGCACATGTCGACCGTGCGTCAGTATGAAAGAGGTCTTGCCTGTGGTTGACTGTATCGAAGCACGATGAGCTAGTAACAACATCAGCAGGTTCATTTCCCAGTCACCTCCTTCGGCGGCCAGCCACTTCTTCATCGCTCAGTTAGACCATTTGTTAGCAGGTAAACTGTTGCCGTCCTTACTTGAGGTTCGCGACCGAAGTGGGGTCTTGTATGCGTGTTTCGGAGACACAACATACATCGGCAGAGAGTGAGGACAAGGTTTCAGCAAGGGATTCCTGTTGCCCAATTTGGGATAAAGTACGGATAGTGAAGGTTGCGACGTGGCTTAGATCTTTTGAAGTTAGTGGGGGAATTTTTTAGTTTTTTTTTTTGGGAGACGGTTGAGACACGGGATTGGCAAGTGGATTGATTGCACTACATTGTACGATGAGTGGGGAGGGAGTGTGGGAGAAGGCCGGTGAGCAAAGAGCTGAGCACAGCAGCTGTTTTTTTGGGGAGCACCGGAATCTTTGGTCGTGAAAGTATTTCAGTCATATTGAATAATGCGCCTGCGGTCACGGTCAGCCGTTGGGCGATCGGAGTGTGCTGTTTTTACAGCCGATCTTTTCTAACCTGTCCTTCCTCGGAGGAAGGCACCATCGGCGCTTCCATAAATATGGACATGCTGGTTGCCTGGGAGACACACCTTACTGCCTTCGCACTCCTACCCCAGAGGACAGTACGACTTTACCTCCAGACCACCTCGTAATACGATTACTCGCTATCCTTCGTCGGGCCGTTCCCAATCGACCTTCATGGCATGGTTGAACCTTAGGGAACTGAGTTCCAGCCAGTGTAGCCCGCAGATCATTGCAGCACAGAAGCCCGACAACCATAAGGCGGCAGCTTTTGGTCGGGTAAATCACAATAATCGTTCGGCTTCAACAACCCTTCGGTGCCTAGCTGCCATGCCACCCGAAGGACGCCGGAGGACTGAGATACTGCCGGGTTGCTCAAGTCTAGACAGGGAAAGTCGCACACAGTTTGCACTCAAGTTCGTTCCCTCTCTGCCTTAGTGATACAGATGCCTCCGTATCGATTAAGCACAACACCCTCTTCCACTCTATCCTAAGTACAGCCTATATTATAGTAATCGCGACTCACCCAGAAAAAGAGGAGTAAACCAGACGGCTATTGTTGACAGATAGCCGGGCACAGAGACATTTTTTTCAGTGGCCAGACATACAACAGTCATAGCATCTGGTTGTTCGAAATCGCCTAAGCGCCTGTGTCTTCATGGTGGCAAGTTCTTCGGTTAGTCAGTCCACCCTGGTTTGCAGTTCCTTCACTGGCAATTTGTCTCGCTTCTCCTGACTTCAGTGTGGCCAGTGGCACCTCAGCTATTTCCTGTGCCAGGCGTATCAGACCCTTCACGCCCAACTAACGAATTGCTTCTCAACAACCGCAACTGAGCACCAAGCGCCCGCTGCACACCATCGATGAATTGGTCAGACAGAAACTGCTGGAGCGATATTCCTTTCAATCCCACTACCAGGACTTCCTTCCCGGCGGCCCAGTCCATTGTTACAGGGCCCCTGCTGACTGCCCGGCCCTTAATCCGGTCTTTAATCCGTTCACCTCGGCTACGTACTCAAAATCCACAAAGACATGGGGACATCCCCATCCACGAAAGGTTGTGACCACGGCACGTTTATTTATATCCTATCGAAGGCACCAAAAGAAAGAGCGCTTTTTAGTGCGGATTTGCTTATTAACCAACCAGAATTAGGCGGTTACAAGCAACTATACATGAAAGTAAAAATCTCATCCGCATAAAATTTTGAAGTGAACATTCGCAAGAACCCTCTTGAACTTGAACTTATACAGTAATGAACGAACACTGCAGAGCAGTTTCGTAGTTTCCGTGCCAACCTTCCATCGGATGCCGGAACGGCGCTTTGACACCTGATCAGACACTATTCGCATGTTTCATCAGTGGTGTAAACCGTTACACTAGTATTTCCTCCGTTAAAAGTAACCTGAATGGACCGACAAAGACATCACTACGAATGTGGATTTAGCACTGATCTTGCTCATGCTCAAATTAAATACACGAATATATGTACGACTAACTGAAAACCAGTGCTCAGGAAGGATTTCACAGAAAAGAGACAACACTGGCTGTAAGCCCGTAATGTTGCACCCGATAGAAATGTCTTGTGAAATGAGGTAAGCTACGAGGTTTGCCATTTGGTTATCCAGTGATCTAACCAAATCAGAAGTACATATTGTTGGTACAGGCAACAAAAGATATGCAGGAAGAAGCAGGATGTTGTGGAAACATTATAAATAGAAGACTTACTGAAAGTGCAGACGATGGATGAACAATGGTGCGATGAGTTTGACAGTCATGCTTGGAATGATATCGGCAAGTAGCACACTCTTGAATAATAAAAAGCTTTAGAAAAAGCACGAGATTACCGCTGTTCCTGTTTCAGTACAATTGTGATGAAAGCTGCCACGAGGTAACCCGAGTTTTTGAGGCTATAGAGTAAACAGTAAGCTGTTAATTGTCACTTCAGGAGTGGACATTTAGACCTATTATTTTGTACTATTATGTATATAGACCCTGGTTCGGATCTTAACAAAATAAAACATTCAAAAACACAAGGGAGAGCAAAAGTTGACAAAAAGAAAAAACGCGCTGGGAAATAAACGAAACCGAAGTAACAAGCACGAGTTCGAGAAATGTATTGACAGATCCAGTTAGCACGCGTCCGCGCTCGAGTGCGGAACATGCCGAGTTTTTAATTCAAAGGAATATATATTTAGGAGGCAGTAAAGCTTCCCGATTTGTGAAATACACTCATTTGCACACAAATTTGGTTTTGCGAGACTCACCTGGAACCCAGCTGAATCTCTCGTTTGTGATGTGTCCAGGCAACTGAATGTGTTGCACCAGACCGCCTCATGTTTCAGTCGCTACGACATCCGAGATATCGCGATATATGTATATTCGTAATGCACTACTCATAAGGTTGCTGAAAATTCGACAGCCCGTGATCGGTTTCGCCCTTCTTGGGGCTCATCGGGTTGGCGCAGTCCCCGAGTTTCCCTCAACCTTACGTCCTACTTGAAATCAAATGCCCGAACTTAGAGAAATACGCTCATTGGGAAACAAACTT